AGCTTTTGGAAGCCTCTGAGATGAGGCTTTCACACTCATATGTTGCCTAAACTTGTCCTTTCAAAAAGAGTAACAAAAATATGGGCTATGCCAAATATTTGAAAAACACATTTGAATAAGTATAATATACTATTGCCATGTCCCTTCCCTTGGGCAATCTCAATGGGATTACAGTAAAGGGCAGAATCTTTCATGTCACAGCAATCACTTTGATGATTACAGTATTTGGCATTTTTAATCGAGTGGAGCTGCTATTGTACCTCCAAAGGTTTTTCAAAAACAATCCAGGAGGAAAAAAAAAATTCTAACCATTCTTCCACTCCTATTATTCCAGTGTGATTTCCTGTGTAACTCAGGGCCTGTTCTTCGTATTTAAAGGTTTTGCATTTTAACTACATTTGCCAGTTAAAGCGCAAAGATGATGTTTTAAATTATTTCCTAATTCAACATTTTCTAACTATTTTGTAGAAATATTGAGTGCTCCCAATCTCTTGTCTTATAAAAATAAAAGAATATGTTAAAATGAGAGGTATGAGGAAAGACTTTAGATTTCCAGCTTCTCTGTTTTTGTATAGTCTTATACACTTATAACCTCAATTTACATCGATGATACCATTACGCAGATGTGTCATTTTCAGCAGGTACATTTCAGGGTAGAACAAGAACATAACGACACAGAAAGCAGTTTCTTGTCTTCCTCTCAGGAAATGCCCTCATTTACCCAGAGAAGGCCCCAGCTGTTTCCCTGCTCTGAGTCACAGCTTGGCTGAGGCACCTCACCAACCACCAGAAATATACAACTTTACAATGGTTTGGGAACAGGGCAGCTTAAAGCCTATTCTGGCTGCAGTAACTCACCGTAACCGCAGAACAGCAGCAGGAATACAGGAGCGGAAGCTGGCAGGGCCTGAGGCATTCCGACTGATAAGTCCTGGCACCCCTGCACACCTCATGACCCTCTTCACAGCACCTGTTCAAGGTGCCCAATCAGTAGTCACTCTGAAACCACCAACACAACAGTTTAGAAGTCGCCATGGCTACTCCATTTACCCACTGAGTGCTTTCTCCTCCACAAGATACCTTCAACAACGTCTTTCTATAATTACACTTCCAAAAAGGCAGGTGCAAAGTTTGTGAAAGGAGGCTGTCTCCTTGTTTTAATGTCAAACACCCTCTCACTTTATGCTACTTGCCAGGGAATTTCCGTCTAGATTTCTGTATAGGAAAAGAAAAAAAGACATTTTAACTTGTTTTCCTTATGAGCTGTGAATTAAGCTATTAACAATGATTGGTTTGCTGGCTGCTGTATGACTGATTTAAAACTTAAAAAGCTGTTAGGTTTTGCTAGACAAAATATTGCTGTTGCTAGGAGAAATTGCTGAAATAATTATGTCCATGCATCCATTCATGTTTAAACCACTTTATCCAACATGGTGTCAAAGAGGAGCTGGAGCCAATCCTGGTAAGCAATAGGCGCAAGGCAGGATACACCCTGGACAGGACGCTAGTACACTGCAGGACACACTCACATCAGGACCAACTTTCCCAGAAGCCATCTAACCTACCAGTTTCTTCTCACGGTTCAATAACATACCGTTAGGTAAACTGCTGCTGGGAAAAATTGGCCCTGATGTGAACGTGTGCATGTCTGTGTCTGTGTGTGCCCTCAAATAGACTGGCGCCCTGTCCATGGTGTATCCTGCCATATAGTCTCCAGCTCCCCCACAACCCTCTACAGAATAAAGCAGTTTGAAAATGGATAGATGGACCTATCAACACTGCACATCCCTTTTTTCATGTAACAAAAATAACTATATCAAATGAATATTCGATAAGTTGCATTTCAATTCAAATCAAATCCATTCAGTTTATTTGTATAGCGCTTTTCACAATGGACATGGTCACAAAGCAGCTTTACAGATTTCTGGGCCTGAAGCCCCAATGAGCAAGCCTAAGGCGACAGTGGCAAGGAAAAATCTCCCTTAGACTAAAGTAGGAAGAAACCTACTTTAGGAAGAATAGAAAGAATAGGAAGTAGGAAGAATTAATGAGTAGCAGAGATGTACTTAATTAGAAGTACAGTTCCTTGTAAAATAACTGGTAAGAAGCAAAAAAAAGCATACAGCTTTTGAATAATTATTCCAATTGAGTTATATAGAGCTGGGATAACATGAAATGAGAAAACAGTATGGTACTACTTTAACTGAGGTTGGTGTCAGTAGTGTGGTCTTTTAGGGATGCTTTTGGGATAGGATGTTGATTCATAGGCAAACGAAACCATTCACAGGAAACTCAAAGAGGTTGTGACGGGATTATACAAGACAATGGGTCTATCTTTAAGAAAATGAGAAACTCAGTTATTCTTTGTCCATTCCCAAGGCACAGTCACATAACACAATGGATTTTAACCATTTTTGTCTGACGTTTTTAAGTCCTTTGTGAAAAACAAACATTAAACTGGCAAAAATAACTTGGAATGTTTTTATATATCGGACAGACTCCACCTTATTTTCTAGTGAAAAGATCATCATGCACTCCCTTTTTTCTTTTAGTTTTTAAAGTTTCCAAATGAACTACTCCTCATATTTAACCCCAAGCGATGTGCCCACAATTCTCAGTCAGCTGTAGAGCCATCTGTAAAATCATTATTCACATGTCTGCTAAAGGAGTTTGGAAACAGATACATTCAGCATAATTATATATGTAATGTTTATTAAATAAAATAACTTTTAAGCAATATTTCTCATTTAAAAAAATAAGAGCAGGACCAGACAAATTGAAGTTAAAAAATTAGAAATCATAAGAATGAACCATTATGATGGGGAAAGCATTTAATCACACTGTGACAGTTTGTGCACGTGCAAAATGTAATTTATACTGTTTTCCCTAGAACAGCTGCAAATCAAATCAAACGTAAGTGCTGTTTAAGGGTGTTACAGTCTCCACCCAGCCTCATAAGACATGTTTGTTTTGGTTGCAGACCTGTGAACAAACGATTAGTATCTGAACACTGACAGTAATTTGAGAATCTTAACTGAAAAAGAGCTGTGAAGATCAGTGGCACACACCCAAAAGTGGCACTCCCAAAGCACTCCCAAAACATGTACATACGTAACTGGTACGCCCGAGTGCATCTGTGGCAGAGGCATAAGAACAATATTCGTCTGAAATGACTATTACTGAGAGTACATTTTATGTGGATGTTTCAATGAACTTGCCGATTTACTAAGTAGAGGAAAACAAAAATTGTCCCGAATTGCATACTAATCTAGACTACCGTCTAGTTTAACTAGTTTTCTCTCATAAATTAATAAGAACCTTTATTTTACATATATTGTATCTTAAAAGCAATCATTTCAATATCAAACAATTGGATCAACTGCTGGGTGAGAGGCCAAGGTGGTGATCCATTATACTTCGCAGGAGAAAAGGAATGAGTGCAATCAATCGGAAAATTCATTCTCATGCTCTACATTTCAGATGTAGTATAAATTATTTGAATCCCCTAAGGAACTGTATTTGTCAAAGATTCTTCTATAACTCTACTTTAATTCAAACTAAATACAACGTTTTATTTTTTTAAATATCCACGTACTGTACTGTACAGTACGTGTCTGGAAGAAAACCCGTTTATCCCGCTGCCGTAGGTTGCAGAGACATGCCTACACTGCACAGACGACACGATCAGTTTTGGTCTCTAGGATTACACCTTGCTCCTGACAGAAAAAAAAAAACTCTTAGTCTTACGGAGTCGAGTCCCAGGAAATAGATGCTGTTCTCCAGATCCGTCGAGACGATAGGTAATTGTACAGTAGTACTGCAATGATATCCGTATAGCGGTGTGAGGTGCAGCTGGGGCTAATAGATGATTAGTGCTTATATAGTTCCAAAATTAACCAGTGTCCTTTCCAAACACTGGAGCCTATTAACCTAAGTCTAGTCTCCTTATAGCTCCCCTCGAAGTCGGTAAACAACCACGGACAACAATTTTCCTTCCGTACGGGCCACCAAATGTAAATGCAAAGTTACAGTATCATCTTAATAAACCCTATATGTTATCAACAGAACAGGCAACACATAACTGACTAGTCCGAATACTTATGAAAATAATTTCAAATGAAACGCCTTAGTCACTCTGTTTTGTTTAAAAAAAATATTCAGCTTCGTGCTGTACTACACATGGAAAATACTACTGGCTCCAAAGAAAACTATTCAACTCAACATTTAAGTTTTAAACGCAGGCGATATTTTGTCCTTGAGCGTAACAGAACCGGGATAATCTTTCATGTGCAGTGTGAAATTAAAAATACTAAACATACCTGGCTTGACAGCACAACTCTAGATTCAAAATGGAAAACATAAATTAATCACCCTCTGAACTCCTATAACAGTAGCCTTACTGCCATACAGTACTGCCTGAATATTACATTAATGTACTTACAGTTACCGCAAACCGGAGAGAAGATAGCTCTTCACAGTAATGTTTGTATTATTTTTTTTTTAATGTGAAAAGCCATTACATTTTCCACACGTTTCCAGCAGGCTGACCGATTCGTGAATTTCATAAACGACATAACTTGAAGCAGGACAAGTCTAGTTCTCTCCGCGGGTGTGTTTAGTGAGCGTCTGAGTACCATGTAACAACACCCAGGGATGACACTTGATCTCTGTGCTCCCTCTACTGGCATCGAGAATCATTTACTCCTCGAAGGAGACTGCTGCGTTGGAGGTCCGTTGGAGGTCCCGTATTTCTTAATGTTGATTGAATCAACTCGATCAGTCTACTCGCAGTGTAATCATATATTCTGATAATTCGGGATAACCTGAATAGGCTAAACGTACAGGACATCTTTCAATTTTAAACCGTCAGTTTGATTTTAAAGCTAGGATGACCTGTTTTTCCCTGCTTTTTTATGTATCCAGTAGTTGCTGTAAGCATTTGTTCGTCCCGACGTTGGAGTACCGGAGTATTACGGCAATATTTTCACATAAGTATGTTTCTATATAAATTAAGGCGAAAGCTTAAAACCAAATGGAATTCAAGGTGTTTTTAAAACCACTGCTTAACTTCTACTAAATGATGCTCAATATAAAGAAATGTCCCTTTGCATTTTTATATCCGATATAGAATATCCGAAAAACACGACGGAGGTCAGTTACAGCAACAATGACATCATCCACAATTATCATTTCCACATGTTTTGATCTGCTACAAAGACAGATTAAAAAATATTTTTTTGTACGAACACTGCAATGTTTCTTTCTTGAATCATTAAACCTCATCTACTAATACAGGATGGGAAAGAGTACTTCTATGTACATTGGCCCAGAATATGAAATACAGATTAATCATTTTGTCCAGGTTATTTAATCTGCCACAATCCAAGAGGCCTCCTTCATAATTTGCTTGATTGTTCAGAATTTGAATAGAAATCTAATGCAATATGGATGGTAAATAGGTTTAAACAAACAACAACTGGAAAGATGTATCAATATGAATGTCAAAAGTTAAAGTTACCAACAAGAGTATAGGTTGCAGTACACATTTGGAGAAGTTGAAAGGATAGCCCTGGAAAAGCAAATCCCACCCCAGCCTTATAAACACTTTTTAATGGAAAATGTATTGGAAAGGGCAAATGGAACAGCCCACTGACATCAAAGATTTGAGGCAACACTTGGGAGTGTCAGGGGAGTGTTAACAAAACAAGATAAAGTCATGCTGCTTTCTGTAGGGTCAAGGCAGGTGAAGGTGGTCTTTTTTCAAGTTACATTCTTTAAAAAAATGATATAATCTAACATAGTTTCAAACCAGTTACTAAGAAAATTTCACTTAAAATGTTCACTAGGGCTTGTGTACAGGATGTTGTAACCCCAAAATCAGGGATAATATCACTGAAAAATGATACATGCAAGGTAGCCTGACTAATACAAAAAAAAGACCATTCACACTATCTTCCCTATGCAGACTGCTAAATAAGAGTAAAATCAAGTCACATTACACAAAGGGTAAAAGTCTAACAATGTGCAGACCAGCCAACTATTTAATCTTAAAGAACTGAAGAGCAACGGAGTCCAGGTTTTAAATCACAAATAAAGCTGATTCAATCCAATTTCGACGTGAAGAGCTGAAGCTTGCCATCCTTGACAGAGGCGACAAGTAGGTCGGTGTGTTTTCATAACTCAATCTTGCCACACTCACAGAGGGCTGTACCCACCCAGAACATAAAGTACAGGCTATGGTCCATTGGAGCAAAACTTTTCAAGTACCAAGTATCTGAGATATTCTTTACATTGGCATTGTCTCTTTTTATCTTAGAACAAGTTGGGATAAAATCGCAAGCCCTCCACAGAATCATCTCTGCAAAGGTGTCCCATCTTCTCAGCAAGAAGCAGCCTTTAAACAGAAAAAAAAGAAAAAATGCACAAATATTGTCTTTATTGCTTTATATTCACAATATAACCTTGGGATGCTAGCTAAATCTAATTTAATAAGGTAACTAAATGACTGTTCATATAACAGTTCCAGCTACTTTTTGACAGTTACAAACACAGCAACGCTTTGAACGTGTGGTGTAATGTGATGTGTACATCAAACTCTAACCTCACCCTGCAGTGTTACTCTACATTTACAGCTGACCTCTGCCACTGGCTTCAGGTTTGTTGAATGCAAAACCTATGCACAAAAAATAAATACTACAAAAAGGAGACAAAATCCATAAGAAATAAAAAAATAGGTCATCTTTTAATGGATGTAAAACATAAGTGTGTTTACAGCAGATGTTTTGTTTTGTTTTTTACTTTTTTGGCTATGGGTTATGGAAAACTGAACAAAACCTCTCCATGCATGTTGTGAGGTCTTTGCTCAGTCTAAGTATCTGCTTTGTGAGAAATTAAAATACCTCTGTTTGCCAAAAGTAAAATGCACTTATTCCCAGTACTGAACATTGACTCTACTGTATAAAAAGGTAAGATAAAAGCAGACAGTTCACACATTCTGCTTGGGAAGATAGACTTCTCAGAAAAAAATAATATGTTGGAGTGATATCACATTGGCATAAATTTACAGTGTATATTATTTATATTTTCTACTTCTTTATATTTCAGAAGGGAAATGGTAATCAGTTCAGGGTTGCTAAGACATTAATAAAGCCACACATCAGAAAGAAGAAATACCACAACAGTTTTCTTTAACAGTTTTCATATTCTGTATTTTATATCATTTTATTGCTAATACTGTATACCAATACCTCTCTTTTGCAAGAAGAACTGAGAGTCCTAGAAGTTTTGCAAACTCTTCTGAGGTCAGAGAGCCTTTTTCAGTCACCTGCAGAAAAGAAAACTGAATATTTATCATTGTAACAGTTTTCATTAGAACATAAAAACAAAATTAACAGATTACACTTCCTTTTTGTTAATCCATGTGTTAATCCAATTTGGCACACAAAGGCCTTGCTTTGCGATTTCCACAATAATTGGTTGCTTCTATTATTTCATTGTTAGGAATGAAGAATTTTAGAAAAATATATAAAATGTTAAAGTAATGGCTGTTAGGATTATTTTGGAGGTTTAGCTTTTGGAAGCACATGTGCTATGGACCTGCATCTGATGGAAAATTGCAATCAGACATTCTCCATAAAAGATGTATTTGTCTTCCAGATCAACATCTGGTTATAATATTCAATCCCATAGGCATTCCTAGTCCGCTCATGCATGGTGTCTAGCTGAAAGCTATTTGGAACCTCTGGGCACTGAAAAGTTGTACAGGAAACTACACAACCTTTATTAAATCTCACTGTGTAGTCTGATGTGTTTTTCATGAGTTTATAGAACAGATCACTTAACCTGAAATTGTAAGGCAAATAAAAAGCTTACATTATCAAGTGCTGAAGCAATCATTTCTTCTTCACTATGGGACTGTAGCTGAACAACCATAACACCACTGTCAAAAACTCGTAACCTAGAACACAAGAATGTGACACCATATACTATTAATTTCCTCCTGATTACCATAACATTTAAAATATGACACAGTGGGACAATATACATGTAGGTAAGACCCTAAGTGCAACTGTTGTTGAATTTTATTTGATTTCACAACTCACACAGTCACTTCCTGCCTCTTTATATTAGAAAATACTGACTGTTAACCTTGATTACATATGTGAAGCAAAATTAATTGTATTTAGACCATTCTTCATTTTACCATACTGAAACTGTGGGGGCTCATTACTATTGTTTCCCAAAATTCCTAGTGAGTGTTTATACTTTAAATACACCTGCTTACGCCTGATAGGTGTTCTTTGTAAAACACATACAGTTGCAAGAAAAGGTTTGTGAACCCTTTGGAATTACCTGGATTTCTGCATTAATTACTCATAAAAAATGTAATTCTAATTTTTTTAACTAAGTCACAATAATAGACAAACACAATCTGCTTAAACAAATAACACACAAACAATTGTACTTCTTCTTGTCAATGCTGAATGCATTGTTTAAACATTCACTGTCCAGGTTGGAAAAAGTATTTTTGTATTATTGTGTTTGTCCATTATTGTGACTTTGAAGATCAGACCACATTTTTATGAGTAATTAATGCAGAAATCCAGGTAATTCCAAAGGGTTCACAAACTTTTCCTTGCCCTTATCCAGGTTGACTCACAATATGTATACACTGTCTATGAGGTTTTCTTGTCCTTCAACAATACACATCAATCCAGTGAGTATTGTTCACACACAACAACCTAACAAAATGTAAAATACAACTAGCACAGCCTGGCAGAGCAAAGCAAGCACTATGCTGAGCAAAAAAAAAAGCAAAATAGAAGAACAAATCGCACTGCCAGCCTGACATTCAAGACCACACCTAAGAATGAGACCACAGGTGTTGTCTGAATATTATAGTCGATATACAGTATTGTATGAGACTATTTACTAAAAAGGTAAAAAGGTAGTGACTAGCTATGGAATTTCCAATAGTTCTTCACAAATATTGTGGCTAATTGTCTGAAGCTATGAGTCTGTCCTTCAATTACTGTCTATTTCTCAGTCAGCTTGACATGACAAAATGAAGTCTGGCACACTTCCATGCAATGTTGCATTTTGGGATGCAGACAAAGTACCATTCTCAAAACAAATGGATATAAAAAATCCTCACCAGAAAGTACTAAAACTGGGCTTTCTAAAACTAGACAAATTCTTTGAACATCTGCCCATTTATTTTATAAAAGACTTAAAACCAGAAGTGTCTAAACAAAACAGGATGTGGAAATTGAAGCTATCAATGGAATTCACTCAGGCTGCTGGCATTACTGTCAGTAGCCACCTTGTTCTCAGACAGTACACTCACCTCAAAGGCAGCTTCAGGGACTCAAACATTTTGCAGGCATTTACCAAATCCTCCGGGGATAGCAACTGAAAGGAAACACATACAAAAAGCCATGACAAGTGTGTGCACTGCGGAGATCACAACAGGACAGTGCCGATGTCCGGAGAGCTTTCCTGAGACAGGAAAACGCAATTAGCGCAGGCGAAGATGGCTGCTTTTAGGATTCTTTTGTTCCAGAATCTCATCCGCCCAGGTCTATCTAGAAACCCCTCAAAATGAGTTCGTCAGACTTTCAGGATTTCCTTAAGCATTGCAGTTGGGGTTAAGGGCCTTGCTCAGCCACCGCTCCGCCCAATATAGAACTGTAACAAGCTTTAAAATTTTCCCAACATTTGTTATATATTTGCAATTGTTAAAAACATAAGAAAACCGCAAAGCCCTACAGTGGGTGGTGAAAACTGCCCAGTTAATCTCTGGGGTTGCCCTCCCATCTATACAGGACATTTATGACAGACGGTGCTTGAGGAAAACTCTAAGCATCATCAAAGACCCCACACATCCCAACTACAGACTGTATGACCCTCTACCATCTGGAAAACGGTTTCTGGAGCATTTGTGCCCGGACTACCAGACTCAGAGACAGTATCAAACTATTAAACTCCCAGCCACTCTCACCTACTATCTGAACCTCACAGTGCCTCCTTTCTTTCTTACCAAAAACTCACACATTGAAATCTACCTCTACCTTACATGTCAAGAAGCTTACTCCCCATAATTTCTATCCTTTTATTTCATTCTGTTGATGCATGTTTTTGCACATCTGATGTTGTTTTTGCACATTACCTGTTACCTTTTTGTTGTTTTGCACATTGCCTGTTGTTGTTTGCACACTGCCTGTTGTCTCTGTCTTTCTTTTATTATACAATTGCATTGTTGGTTTTTTTTTGTACTACGTATCGTCTGAGAGCTAGCTAAATAGCATTTCGTTATACCATATACTGTACCTGTATATGAGTATAATGACAATAAACTTGAACTTGAACTTGAACTTGAAAAGTCCTACAAATGCATGGAATCAGATAACACACTTGTTAAAAAGAAGTTTGATCAATTTTTGTTTTTACACATTAGGTCATATAAACCAACACCAGGTATAGGATTCTTTTGAGTAGCTAGCTTGCTTCGATGTAAATAGGGAAAGGTATACTTAGATGATAGTATATATAGAGAGAATTTTCTCTTTCACTTGATTAGTTTTTATAAGAACATGCAGCCCATAAAACAAACATGGATCACATTAATATGATTGTGATATATGAACATCACATTAATAAACAATGGGTATCTTACTCGTATTTTTCTGTACCTTGGGCTGTGTGGGGGAGCACTTTTCAGTAAAATGTGACGGGTACAAAATAATAAGAGATTTTGTTAAGCCCTTGATAGACATGAGTCCATGAGAAGTAGAACAACAAGCAATTTTCTCTCATAAGCAAAGCAACGAGTACAGCATTAAAGGAATCCAATGTTGTTCACTTCCCATCTTTTTCAGTGATGAAAGAAGTTGATCTCCCTGGGACCTTGTGAAATTTCCTAAGTCACATCCTCATTTAGTACCTCTCTTTGTAATCAGATTTGTATTCTCCTGCATCAAGATTAAATACTTTTTCAACATGCTGTTTTATTCAGATTTTCTAACCTTTTTCTAATCTTTCTAACTTTTATTTTATTTTTAATAAAACAGATAATCGGAAAATGGAGAGGTGAATGTGTTATTTAAAGCATCCAAGTTCTGCATCCAAATTGCTTTAGGGTTAATAGCAGTAGAACATTTTCAATCATGCCATATTCATCCTGTTTAATATTAAATCGTACCAGCACACGTTGTGCTCGCTGCTGAAATACTGTGTGCAGTGCGCAATGGGGCAGTTTCCTGGTGGGACCACTTGTGAGTATAATGATATACTCACAACAAAAGTATTTATCTAAAACTGCCAGAGCTCTAGATAACAGATGTGACATGATATACAGCATATCACTGAAGTGTAATAGTGCATCAGAAAAAAGGCAGACATTGTGGCAAAGAAACAATGTGCTACCTTTACTGGCATTCATATTAAACACAGTAAAGTGCCTAAATACCAAATCAAATAAAGAGACAAATTGTTTGATGTTCTGTCAAGATTACATTACTCCAAAGGTGAATAACAACAATCTATCCTTAAGAGGGTCATCCAATATTTCTCTGTATTATATTTTGCACCAGAAATTTTTAGATCAAGTACAATAATCCCATATCCCCACTTCCAGGCCAAGTGAAGAGAAGACCAAGGGGTCTAGAAACCCTCATCACTCCCTCACAGCCATCCAGATGGTTTCTTCTGCCTTTCCTAATTCCAAGTTGCTTAAACCAGGGTCAAGTGGGATCACAGTCACGTCTGATTATACTGCCACTCTAATTAGAAAGGTAATTAGCCAATCCATTCTCCTAGAGAGGCCTGGATGATTTGCGCTGGCAGAAGAGACTTAGATTTGGGTCAGAGCACATATGACCTTTATCAGTCAAGAAGTAAAATGCCAAAGCCAAAGGCAATGTTAATTATTTTGTCTGGCATGCGCCAACATGAAACTGGACATCTATTTTCCATGTATGGAGAAAGGGAATGAAAAAAAAACGGAGTCAAAGCAACAGATTAAGAAAAGGAGCACACATTAAAAATAAGAGGACTGGTTGGTCCCAATCTCACCTCCATCCCACGGGCTCGATTGACTAAACAATAAACTTCAGTCAAAGCCATCATGCCTCCTCTCTCCTTTAAAAAAGAAAAAAAATACTCCTTTTCATGGCCAAATACACTAATGTCAATAGCAGTGAATCTGACTTGGCATTCAAAAGCAAAAAGCACCGCACAGGGAGAAAAGGCTATGTCGGTGTGTCAGAGAAAGCTCTGCTGATGAGAGCAGGCAGAGGCAGCCATCCTTAAATGTCTCCAGAACACTTAGTTGTAAAGCTATATGGACCTCACTGCACACCAGCATAGGTCGCCAGGCCTCATCAGCTAGAAATGTTCACAGGTAGAAACTCGCTGTAAAAAAGGGGGATCTGGTTAGACTGTGGGGGCCACAGAACATTGCTCAGTGTTGAAATTCAATGTTCAAGCTGCTCAGGCAGATGTCATCACCCCACTTTTCAATTCGCTCATTGTCTCCTCATGATCAAATTCATAGATTAAACAACCCAAAGGAAATTAAGCGAAATCAGAGCACTCACTGATATGGGGCTTGCAGCTGTGAAGTGAAGCTGGACATCCGTGTTCCAAATGGGAAAAACAAACTGGACTGGCGCAGAAATACACTGGTAGCAGATGGAATATAATGAGGGCTTCGTACCTGCAGAGGGACCAGCAGCATGTCTCCCAGCTGTTTGGCTAGCTGCATGTGGTAATGTGTCCCAGAGCCATGGGTTTCCCTGGTGACTGGGTTTGCTATGCCCATACTCAATAGATAAGATTTAAATCGGATAGTCTGTTGGGAAGAGTCAGGATAGCAATAAGCACGGGATTCAGTTTAACCAATGGGTTTAACACAACCATGAGAATATTCAAGAGATCTATGAATCTTTAAGACAACTTTTTACATTTTGAGTATTTTATTGTATGATTCTTCATTGGAAATTGCAGAAAAGCACAAAGGTAAGAATAGTTTGCTGCTCTTTGGTTTTTGACATTTGAGACTTAAATGCACGTGTGTAGGATATACTGTAAATATAATAAGCACAAAACCTTACCAAGTGACAGATAACCTCAATTTGAAATGGTGATTCAAAGAAATTTACAATTTAATCTCAGTCACACAAAAAATGGCAAAACACACTTTTAAAAAAATTAAATAAAATATCATTCAAAAAGTAGATTTTCTCATGAGCATTTAGGATTATAGGTAAGGCAGGAGAAAGACTTAAATAGGAATAGATGGTTCTTAAATGTTCTGAGAGACGTGTTCAAAGCCACTGCTAATAGTCCTGCCAAGCAGGCTTAACAGTCCATGTGTTGGCAAAGAGACTCTAATCCAATAAAGTTAAGATGCTTATGTTTATAAAGCAACAGGCTTTTTCACGCCTGGAGAACACAAGAGTATTTCACAGAAGAAGAGGTCCCTAACAATGTAATTACTACATTCTGCTCTGCCAGGCTCAGGCTCTTAACTATACAGAATTTCCCCACTGGAGCAGAAACATAAATGACAATTCAACTTTGTATTTTCAAAATTGTATTTTCTTAAACATTTTTTATTGTTTGACTGTCATAATAACTGTTATTGTTAATATAGAAAGACCTTTCTACTTTTTAAAAGACTTCTCAAAGGCACCTATGAGGAGTTGTACTGCAGAGGTTAAACTGCACTGTCAAATAACTATTACAGAAAATGAAAATGGGGCACCATTCACCAAGGTCCCCTAAAATGTCTTTTCATTTTTGGGTTTGAGTTTCAAAAGCCTTCATTTTGCAGTAAAACTATTTGTTAAATACTTGGCTCCTTAAGCATATTTTTAAATAATTTTGTCCTCTGATACTGTGAACTGTGAAGGACAAACTAAATAAACCCACCATGACCCAGAATTTCCTTCATGGACTAAAAGTGTCAATCAAAAACAATGCTTACCTCATCTTCTGTGATGTCCCCTTGTTTTTCTTTGATTTTGTTAGCTATGGATTTGGATAATTCTACCATTTCTTTTGCCTGAGGAAAAGAAGAACAATTTAACTCTGTAATGCACCATCACATGATAAGGATAATCATATACAGTTGACTTATCAAATATTACCTTTTCCATAAGCTTGCTGAGATCTTCAAAAGCCTGTGGGAAATGAATGAGAAACTTGAAATCCAGTTCCAAAATAACACTTATTGTTTTTCTGTCACATGTATTTAATCAAATGCAATGCAAGTCCTGTCTCTTAAAGAATTAAACTCTTTAAAACAGTTTTCTAAACAGAAGCATGCAAATTAATCTAAAAATCTATTTTTTAATTAAATAAAAGTAGAAGATTCCTTTACAGAATATACAGTAAATGTCATTAACCAGGTACAGAAAGTCAGCCTGCATAAGGGATTACAGTGGAACCTCTTTTATATTGTCACCCTTTGTACTAATGCATCGTAGGACTTTACAAAATGAGAACGCATAATATCCACAAACACATGACTTGGAAAAAGAAATACTACCCACAAAAAGCTATGGAACATCATACAACTAAAATAATATTTATTTTATTATATATATTTATAGATCATGTATTTGGTGCTGCATGACCATCAACGGTAATAATGAGATTGTCAGACAAATGTAATAATGATAATTAATAATTGCTTACACTTATATAGCACTTTTCTGGACACTCCACTCAAAGCGCTTTACAGGTAATGGGGACTCCCCTCCACCACCACCAATGTGCAGCATCCACCTG